ATTAATACCTGGGGGAGCAAACAGCTGTGCATATCTCTCTATCAGTGTTATAGAGGGCGAACAATTTATGAGTTTGCCCTGTATACGCTTTATGCAGGGTAAAACGGATTTATCTGGGTTTAGACCCCATTGGGAGTTGAGCATCTGAGTGATAAAGACAAGCGTTTTCAGGTAACTTGCAGCTGTGGGACAGGAGATTCAGACCCTGGATCTGTGTCTGGAGCCAGACGGGAGTGTCTGGCTCAGCAAGACAGGGTGCTGGAGTCCTGAGCTGGCAGGGAAAACAGAAGCAGGGGTAGTCGTTGCACATCGGGTGGCAGCTCCCAAGGGGGTTTCTGTGATCCAACCCGTCACAGAGGGGTAGTGATGGAAATGGGGTTTGGTTTGGTCACAGGGCTCCAGATAGTGTTGCCAACTGTCCAGTCACACAAACCCTAATACTGTTGCCCCGCCCCAGCCCCTACCCCAAGGCCCCACCGTCAGCCTGCTCCTTCCTTGACGCCCCACTCCGCTCACTCCATCCCCCATCCCTTCGTCACTCGCTTTCCCTTACCGTCACTCACTTTCACGGGGATGGGGTAGAGATTTGGGGTGCGGGAGCAGGTGCGGGCTATGGGCTGAGGCCGAGCTGATCAGAGTGTGGGAGGGGGTTGGGGCAGTGTCCAATGCTGCCGGCTCCACAGGGAGGAATTTTGTCCAAGGCCATTTTTAAACAAGGAGGGAGGAACAAGGAGAACCAGAAGACCAATATTAGGATGCAGCAGAGTTTTTAATGCAATTGAAATTGGCAGTACAGAGTTAGAGGAGAAATACTACAGAGCAGAAAGAATGTATTTCCAGTGTTACTAGAAGGGCCATGACCAATTGCAGGCCTCAGTGGGGTGTATTTCAGACAAGATGTTCTCTTTGCTTTGTTGCAGCTGCAGAGGTTGACAAACGAGTCCCCTTTACAACCATTTGAAGTTCCTTGTTTTACCCCAGTTGGTGGGAAATGAGACAAAACCAAATAAAAGCAGAGAACTGTGAAACTTCTCCCTATACGTCGGCCGTAGCAAAGGTCAAAGTGAGGCGCTAACAGTATGTATTGATGGAAAGGTTAGAACATTTGAGATCTAATTCTCCTTGACACCAAGATCTCTTTTTCCCCTCTAAAGGGACTTAAACTAATAATCAATGTAACTGATATCCATCTTAAGGCCCCTGTTTCCTTTACATTGCGGGGTTAGTGTAAACAGCCTGAGTGTAATTCAGAATGAGTCCACATGTGAATAAGAGAAACAGAACACGGTTGGGAAAGCCTTGGCAGAAAGAGTCATAAAGCGTAACAGTAGAAATGCAGCACGGCTATCAGACCAAGGTGCTGCGCACACACAGCTCCCACTGAGTTCAACTGAAGCCATGTATGCACAGCACTTCTGAAAGCCATGCCCAAAGATCAGGGGTGGATCTGTATCTTGCTGTTCGTTTCCTGGTTCTTCCTTCTTCCACGGATGTTCCTGCTGGGTTTAGCATGTCCCACAGCGTTCACCGAGATACCTACGGCCATATCCCCCGTATCCCCATAATCCCCCGTAACCATAAAGACCTGGGTAACCGCAGTATCCCCCATGGCCCCATAATCCCCCATAACCGTAATGGCCGCCGTAACCACCGTATCCCCCTAAACCGTACAATCCTCCGTAAAGGCCTCCATAGCCGTATCCCCCATGACCGAATGAGCCCCCGAAACCAGGTCCGACCACAGGTGCTCCTACAGCTCCCACTGCGCTGTGCTGAGGGAAATTGCTGAGAATAGGTCCTGGGAGGGTGACGACCACCGGTGAGGGTCTGATCACCACTTCGGAGTCCTGGCACTGCCTAACGCACGGCTCGTTGCAGGTGCCAGTGACTGGACAGGGCCGGGCCACCCCGCATTCTGGATAGCACAGGCTGGAGAAAGTCATCTTTCTGCGATGGAGGTAAACCTGAAACACACAACAGGGACTAGAGTAAAGGGAAGGTACACGGGCCGGGGCAAGGAAGGCTTCATCTCAACTACAATTGTAGTGAGGTCTGAATGGAGCCTGAGAGAGTCGGGGGGCGTAAACTTAGTCTCTATGTGTGTGGCCATGTATTTGTTCCTATTTTCTCTTTCTAAGCCTCTTCTCCACTCACACTAAACTTCCCTCCCAACTGGCCCCTTTGAGCTCCTATCAATAACATTGTCTGAAAAACATCATGGTCATCACTTCCTTTTGTTTGGGGATTTAAGCTCTGCATGCAAACCAGTTGAGTCCAGTGTCAGAGTGTGGTTCATTGGTTTGCCAAACCTAGGGAGTCATCAATACTTGCTGATGAATAAACAGAAAACTTTACTTTTCTCCATAGAAATCACTGAGGACAAGCGCCTTAGCTGGGATAAAACAGGTTCAGGTCCACTGACTTCCATGGAGCGACACGAAATTACACCATCTGAGGAGAAGCACTTTCAATGGGCATTTCTGCTCAGAAGAACCTAGGAATTGCTTGATTGCACACCACTTGTCAGCTCCATCCTTTTTCGTGTCTCCAATAGTGAGGAGTAACAGCTACTTGAGAATAAAGTAGAAGACCACTGAACTGGCCCTTTCTCTAAAACCTGGGAAAATGTATTCATAATTCAGATAAGTGAAATGTGGTTTAGTGACTTTCTGCAGCTACTGAAAAGATTTAGCAAAGAGTCCTGTGGCACCTTATAGACTAACAGATGTATAGGAGCATGAGCTTTCGTGGCTGAATATCCACTTCTCCGGATGAAAAGATTTAAATGCCCTAATTCTTTTTCCAGATAATAGAAAATATGTTTCCCATGAATCCACCAGTGCCTGCAACTAAATAACTAAACAAGTTCATTATGGAAGAGCATAAATCCCTCATAAAAAATCACGAGTAAAAGCAAGATTCAGTCTTAAATGAAAATAAACCTACTGTCACCTCTCTAGAGTTCAAAAGTGATTGAGTCTAATTCGACTTACCGAGTTCACCGAGGAGATGAAGTCCCAAGAAGTGATTAGAAAAGCCTTGAGTCTTGAGCACTTTTATACAGTTCCTAGGACTGCCTAGAGGATCTGCGACGCTGTTTGTGGTGGAGGTGCTAATTAGTTGCCAAACAAACTTGATTGCCTTGCTATGTCTTCTTTTGGATGGAGCTGTTTTCCTCAGGGGTTTTGATTATTGGGCCAATCTCAGCCTCAAAGGGCGTGATATGCACGTTGCACCCTTCATCTTTCTTTCATGTTAAATTGTACGGGTCAACTGCATTCCTCATGTCATTCCACTGCCTTTTTTTGTGGCTGCAATGAGAATGAATGTCAAGGTGATTCTGACCTGCATCGGTAGCACAGCTGGCCGTGATGGAAGGAACCCAGTTTGGTTCTTTCAATTCATACTGGTCATGGCCAGGGGCATTGGGTCATTCATTGTAAACCTGTTAGGAAGGAGGGAGCCATTTTTCTGCATTCTCACTATCTCCATCCCTACTGGGTCAGATCCACTTCCTTTTGAAGTCAAAGCGAATCATTCCATTTCCTCCAGCATGTTTCCTGTCAGGACCTGAAATTTGAAATTCACCTGTTGGCAGGGATATGGTAAAATGCCCTATGAATAATTTTAATCCCACTTTAAACTTTCAGACTGGATCTTAGCAGGGACCTAAGTGTGATGACTGTCTGTCCAGAGGTGAATTTCTCCCAATGGTGAGTAAAACTTCAACTAACATTGGACCTCCACTTGTGTCACTAATGTTGTCACAAAGGGCTGCCTAGGACAGATTTCCTCAGGGGTCAAAGTAGGGATGGTGGTGAGTG